TCTTGAAGTCATTAAGTGTTGCATGTAATATTTCAGGGTCAGTGGTGTTTCTTGCATGTCTGATGCATTCTCCTTTAATGAATCCTTTAAACACAGCTGGGCTATGAGCGCTCTGTCTGTGTAGATACTGAAAGTTATTTGTTGGTTTGATAAAGGACTTGATATCAAGTTTGTTAAAATTTTGAAATTTCTGTCCTTTATAAACTGTAGTATCAAGGAAGTTGACAGCAGATGGAGAAATTTCAAATGTAAATCTTAGATGCTTGTGACAGTGATTGCCGATATTAAAGAATTCTTCTATCTCTGGTTGCGTTCCATTGAATATTATGAAACCGTCATCACGGTATCTGCCGTGGAAGACAATTTTGCTGGCATGACGAAATTGTGCCATTATATGCTTTGTGATTTGATACATTCTGATGTCACAGATCTCTGGACTGGGGACTGCCCCCATACTTGCTCCTATTATTTGTTTGTAATATTTTCCGTCGAATTCAAAGTAATTGTTTTCCAAGACGCATTTCAGTAAGAAGTTTAGATCCTCAGGGTCCGGATATGGAATGTCTAATTGCGTTTTATTGGCCTGTGTGTAAGCCTCATTTACTGATGAGAGAAGTTCGTTGAATTCCATGTTTGTGTACATGCTCGTCACATCATAAGTAATTAACAGTGATTAATAATGCGTTTGTTGGCAATTTGAGGCCTTCGATTTTGGTGATAAAGTCCGTAGTGTCTTTGATATAAGTTGATTGTTTTTGTACAATGGGTACAAGAAAGTAATCGCAATATTGTCCTATTTTCCTCGTTGGCGTATCGCATTGCGAGATAATTGGTCTACCAGGTGGTAATTTCCTAATGCTGCACTGACCGTTTATTAGAGCATTGTAAATGTTTGCTGGTATTTTGTGGGTTTTCGGTAAAAGGTACAAATGCCCACATTTGAGTGAAGGTTTTTTGTCATTAAGAAATTTGTAAGTTTCTTTGTCCAGTGACCCATTTGAATGCATTGCGGCAAGTTTATTTTGAATGTTTTCATGCAGTTTGAGCATGTTGGGTTCAGATACTTGCATATAGTGTTTAGATTGCAGTTGGCTTTGTGCTTCTAAGACATACTGGTCTTTGTTCATGATGACAATTGTGTTGCTTTTATCTGCTTTTTTAATAACAATGTCGTTGTTATTTTTAAGAGATAAAATAGCTTCTCTTTCAGCATTTGAGATGTTTGATCTCTTTTTTGCAATTTCCAAAGAGGAAAGTTCCAATTTTGTTTTATCTATATATTCCTCGAGTTCGCTGCATGTAAATGGCGGTTTGTAGCCAGATTTTGTGTTAAAGGGGTGAATGGCATTGTCGTCTCCGGTATCAAAGTGGAATTTGCATCTGAGTTTCCTGGCAAATTCTTCAAAATCTTTGAGCAGCAGGCTTTTAGCATTGTCGCTTTTAGGCGTTGGAATAAATTTTAAGCCTTTGCTTAGAACTGAGAGTTCATGTTCGGATAAGTTGTAGCTTGATAGATTTAGAACAAACTTTCCCCCTGTGGCCGTAGTTTCCTTGCAGTGAGCTTTAACTCCCCGTAAAAAATTACGAGTGCGTTTAGCATTTTTGCATTGCTTACTCCGTCTATTTATTCGTCGAGCCATTCAAATAGAGGAGCAGTAGGTGGTAAATATATTGTATATAGCGAGGCGCTATAGATCAACAATGAGTATTTCGATGAGATAATGAATCCGTCTAATTATCAATAAGTGTTGATAGATTAGAGGATAAGAAGAGTATGTGGCTATAAGAAACCGATAGTCAGATTCCGATGATTCGTTATGGTCACGTGCAAGGGGCGGTGTTTGTTTAAGAGCTGGTCCAATGGGTGGCTAATGCACACCAATTTTATAGTAATTAAATCCTGTGGATCTTAAGCCGTCTGATATACATAGTGTCATAAAATGAGGCTAAAATAAAGATCCGTCTTAATATCATATGATGATAATAAGAGGATTAATATTTCACATGACTGTCCAAATCCTGAATGAATTCTTCCTGGTTTAAGCTGATCTGGTCCTTCAATATATCCTAGTATTCACAATCTGATATTCTCGTGGTTTTCTTGCATTGGTACAAAGTAATTGAATGAAGGGCACTATTGTATGTGTATACTTGAGCAAGCCGAAGTATTTGATTATAAGAGAAGCGTAAAAGACGATCTTTGAAGTAGCAGTTCAATCCTTTACAAACATGTGCTGATTTGGTAAAGGAAGTGCTGGTAATAAAATGTCTTAGAAGACAATAGAAGCAAAGAGTGTGGCCGGATTGTTGGATGACCAAATAAACCACACAAGTCGATCGCTGTCCAAGGGAGGGCGATGCACGGGATGATGCCGGTGGGACATTGTCCCTAGTCAAAGTGTGAAAATTAGCGACATCAATCAACCAAACTTGTAAGAGATTTATTAGGACCCGACACTCCAAACCACACTTTAAGTAGATATGTTTTTTGCATAGAGCAGATTAATATCTGATTTGAATTATGCAAGTAGTTGTAGAGTGTTTCGGCTATTAAGAAGCCTCATCAGGGGTCACGGACATAAATCATCGTGTTTGTTTTAGGTGAGACCGGATTATCTCGTCACCTATATTCTTGTGTTTGCTGTAAGCAATGATTGGTTGAGAATGAAATAAAGTTTTGCATTCTGGATTTCTAAGAATGGTGTTCCAATATTTTAGAATTCGTTTTTTCAGTCCTTTAACGCAAGGGTTAAATTTAGTAACCAGTACTGTAGGGTTACGTAATGACTGTTCTTTAGTCTTTTTGATGATGAGTTTTGATCGGTTTGTGTTGACCGTTTCCTTGATAATAGGATCAATTTCCGAAGTAGAGTAGCCTCGCTTTGATAAGTGCGTCTTGAAGTCATTAAGTGTTGCATGTAATATTTCAGGGTCAGTGGTGTTTCTTGCATGTCTGATGCATTCTCCTTTAATGAATCCTTTAAACACAGCTGGGCTATGAGCGCTCTGTCTGTGTAGATACTGAAAGTTATTTGTTGGTTTGATAAAGGACTTGATATCAAGTTTGTTAAAATTTTGAAATTTCTGTCCTTTATAAACTGTAGTATCAAGGAAGTTGACAGCAGATGGAGAAATTTCAAAATAATGTAAATCTTAGATGCTTGTGACAGTGATTGCCGATATTAAAGAATTCTTCTATCTCTGGTTGCGTTCCATTGAATATTATGAAACCGTCATCACGGTATCTGCCGTGGAAGACAATTTTGCTGGCATGACGAAATTGTGCCATTATATGCTTTGTGATTTGATACATTCTGATGTCACAGATCTCTGGACTGGGGACTGCCCCCATACTTGCTCCTATTATTTGTTTGTAATATTTTCCGTCGAATTCAAAGTAATTGTTTTCCAAGACGCATTTCAGTAAGAAGTTTAGATCCTCAGGGTCCGGATATGGAATGTCTAATTGCGTTTTATTGGCCTGTGTGTAAGCCTCATTTACTGATGAGAGAAGTTCGTTGAATTCCATGTTTGTGTACATGCTCGTCACATCATAAGTAATTAATAATGCGTTTGTTGGCAATTTGAGGCCTTCGATTTTGGTGATAAAGTCCGTAGTGTCTTTGATATAAGTTGATTGTTTTTGTTCAATGGGTACAAGAAAGTAATCGCAATATTGTCCTATTTTCCTCGTTGGCGTATCGCATTGCGAGATAATTGGTCTACCAGGTGGTAATTTCCTAATGCTATAGATGTGGTGTAAATGTAAATATAAATGTCGCCGAATTTCTAACATGGACTGTGATCGGTTAATTTTTACTGCAGTAAAATTATTTAATTGTGAGTAGGTATGGCCAGTGTTATATTTTTACTTTAGTAATAATATTTTTACAGGAGTAAAATTAATAAATTGTGAGTTAAATGGCTACATTGTTTTTTTACTCCAGTAAAGGAGTGAATTATTTTTACTGTGGTAAAAATAATTTTACTGGAGTAAAAATAATTTTACTGGAGTAAAAATAATTTTACTGGAGTAAAATTATTTAATTGTGAGTAGCAATGGCCAGTGTTTTATTTATACTGCAGTAAAAATAATTTTAGTGGAGTAAAAATAAATAATTGTGAGTAGAACGGCCAACCATAGTCGTTTGGCACTTTTTTAGCACAGTGCCATGTGGAAAATTATTAAGTATAATACAGGTTGTTGGAGGACTTTTTATTAATATTACATCTATCTTGCATTGTGTAAAATTGTAACAATTGCGAACGTGATTTTGCACATATATGTATGTTACCTGATGTTTGCATATTATTTCCGATAATACAAAACGGCTCCTTTGTGATAAAATGAATGATAGCATTTAGTATGAAAAATGAAAAAATAATGACGTCTGGCTTGTACAAACGCATAAAATCATCATTACAGTTTCGATAAATATTCTATACATGTATAAAAAAAAATATTCTTATACACATAATATAGAATAAGCATTCACATCTACATATAAATATCGGTATTTTGTACTTGCTTCAATATAAATATATACATTTAATAATTTTACAAATTCAGTGGGTGAAGAGATCCGATCTCCCGCCCCCCCCCCCTCCCCCGAACAGCATATGTCCTTCTTTTTTCCTATGCGGGGGACACAAATTATCTGAATTAGTTCAATTAAACTGATATCACTACATACCGAATACCATAGCATCGTCTATGTACCAGGGTATCAGATGCCAAATTTACTAACCTATACCATTATATACACTTATATATGTATACTGTAGAAACATAAATTTTCATGTGGAAATGCTGATATAGTTCCTAAAACGGATTCGTAGGCATTAAATATAGTCGTTTCGAAAGTTCTCCTTGTCAATATTGCACTTGATATGAGCCAAACCTAATTTACAATGACATTCTTAATCTTCTTTATCTTAATTCACTTTACTGTGCAATTCTCTTAAAGTATGTGCAATTTAAACACATACTTAACACAAAAAAAACTTCCTCGTCCTGGCATATACAACGTAAAAGGGAGTGAATGTTTTATGTGACTAAATGGCTATATTCATTTTATTACTGCTGAAACAGCTACCTCAAATCTGTGGATATGGTATGTTTATTTTTTTTTATTCTAAATTAAAAATTTACAAATAAAATATGGACAGTTTCAACTGAAAGGACCATGGCAACGAATTTTAAGTACAATATCTATAAAAATAAATATATGGAGATAACGAACAGTATTCAAAATCAAGGTCCAACAAGCAATATACATTAAGAGCAGAGCAAACGCTGAACTCTAAAACACCAGACGTGGGATCAGGTGCCATGGAGGAGTAAGTATCCCTTGCCGATCGGTCCCCGCCTTGTCATGATCAGGAAGTAACGGGAAATTCGTCGTCAATTCAGTGTATAAATTATGGACTAACAATTAGTATGAAAAACATCAGACAGCATATTATATTGGACTCAATGATAAAGTTTGTTTGCTGACGAGGTCATTGTACCGACTATAGAACTTACGGAATGATGACTTTAAACGAGACTGCTAATATTCCTGTTTCATCAACTTGTTTTTAAACAATTTACCTCGTTTTAGAAATTGTGCATACGTAAAGGATCCTCTTTCATATCGAATTAACTGAGATATATAAACTCCGTAAGTAGGTGATAAAAGTATACTGCTGCAGTAGAAAGAGAATTCGAAGCTGACGATTGAAAAGTTAAAGTCATCATGATATCCTTGGAGCTAAAGGACAGATGATACAAACAAATTTTTTGTTTGGATGAGACTAAGTATCATGTCACAGGTTTAGAAAAGTGGATCGGTTTTAGAATTTTTTCTTCTAGGAACTGGAAATGAAATAAACTTGTAAAATATAACTAATATTTAAATAAAAAAAATAAATATTGACAAATCACACTCAGTAAAACTTAACAGGTGATATGGGGTGATTTTTACCAGTTTGCTTTTCCTCATAAAATTCGCCTGTCTTGGTATATATATTTTTCTTAAGTTTATTTTACACTTTTAGCACCACGCTAATATATTCTGAAATTTATTTTCATCTGTAAACCTTTACTGAGTGTGTTTTATCCATTTTATCATTTTTTTTTATCAATTCTAAGAAGTATCCACTTTTCTAAATTTGTGACATGATATTAAATCTCCTCCAAAGGAAAAATTTGTTTGTATCATCTGTCCTTAATTGACATGAAAGATTATCATTAAAGTCCTTTACAAGTAAAACTATCCCAATATGAAATAGATGTGTCAGTCATTGTAGTAATTTTTATCTTTGAAAGCACACGGGAATATATCAAATCGACAAATAAGGAACAACCATTGATAATCGCCAATATATCGAAATGTCGATTTGAAAGCCACAGTAGGTGTTTTCTTCTTTTCATGAATAAGAAGTTTTATGAAAACAAAAATATGTTTCTTAAGAAGGAACTGCAATGGAAACCCATGGGACTTCTAATAGATTGTTGAAAGACTTTGCATCCAAAAACCAATATATATAGATGTTGTCAATCTGAAACTCAAGCAATTTTTTATGTCAAGTTTTAGATCTGACAAAAAGGCTCGAGATCAAACGTAGGTAATCGACGAATGCGAAGCTCACTTCAACGAATGTTATCTATATTAAAGTCGTACAATCTGATCTTTATTTTATTCGGTCCCATATTTTGATTTTTAATTTATATCATTGCGAGATAGAATTCCATAGAACTGAAAGTTGATTAAGAATTTATTGAATTTGACCATTGATTGGATCAATTTTCTTCTACATTTTCCGAATAGCAGGATGAATTCTGTCAGCGTTTTCCATTATTTTTATTACCAGAAGACCTGTCATTCAACAAATCAACTGAACAGTATGAAAGTTATTGGTGCCCACGTTCATTTTGTGAAAATTATTATCATTCACGTAATGCTGTGGATAGAAACAATGACACTTGTACAAGAACTAGACCTATTGAACCTAGAAGTTTGTCAAATCAAACATGGTGGTATGTAGATTTGGGCGGTATCAACAACGTTTACAAAGTTAACATTATATTTAGGCTGTATGAACCAAGACGTGGTAAGTAGTTTTAATGAAATTTATGCATTTAATTTGGAATGGCAATGAAAGACGTGAAAAGCTGAGTTCAAATCAATGAATACGAGGATTGCTCCAAAAGTCCATGGACTGATGCAATAAAATTTATTTTATGTAGTCTATGTTTACAAATTTATTAAGAGATATTAAGAGATATTCAAGCAACAAAGGTAAAAGAAATATTGAAAATTTTAGTTTGGATGACAAATGCTAATGTAAAAACACTTAGGTCGAAAAAGGTAAACTTCGAAAGTGCGTCGCCTGGACAGACCATCACTTTTAAAAACATCAACAATTTATTAAAAAGTAATACTAACGATGTATAGTTAATTATTAAAAAAAAATGTTGTTGATTTAACGTTGAAAAATTCATTGATGTATGTCGTTTATCCAGCAACTTTCAGTATTTCATCTATTTCCGCCCTGACATTATGTTCATAATTTTATGTGATTACTTTTTTAGGTCACCTGAGTCACTCGGGTCACCTATTGCTATCCGTTTTCGTCCGTCGTCAGACGTCGTGTGTGGTGTGTAAACATTTGAACATTTTCATCTCCTATTAAACCACTGAACCAATTTCAACCAAATTTGGTATACAGCATGTGTGGTGAAGGGAAACAAAAATTGTGAATTTCATGGTCCCCCCCCTGGGGCCTGAGGGCTGGGGCCAAAACCACTAAAGTTAATGAAATCCTTAAAAGATCTTCTTCTTTACTTCTGGACATCGAACAGGCAAACTGTTGGCATAAATGTAATGATTATTTAGCCCTCTACCAAAATTGTGAAATTCATCGATCCAGGGTCATGAGTTCTATTGCTAGGATGGGGCCATACATAGTACATAGTAATGATGAGCAAGAGTGCCTCAACCAAAATTGTGAAATTCATGTGCCCAAGGTCAGAGGTTCTGGTGTTAAGGTGGGGCTTCATTGATTATATAGTGAAAATGCATTATTTCTATTAAAATCTTCTTCTCTGCTCCTGGGTATCAATTAAACTAAGTAAGTACATAGTTATAATGAGTAAGAGTGCCTCTTCCAAAATTGTGAATTTTATGGCCCCAGGGTAAGGCCTAGGGGTTCTGGTGTTACAGCGGGGCTATAGAGATTATATAGTGAAAATGCATTAATTCTTTGAAAATATTCTTTTCTGCTCTTGGGTATTAAATAAATTAATTTAGAATATAGTTATAATGAACAAGAGTGCCTCAACCAAATTTGTGAATTTCATGGCCCCTGTGTCAGGTGTTTTGCCATTTGTTGTAAGGGGGGGGGGTGCTTTTTTTAATATATAGTGAAAATTCATTACTTTTTTTTAAAAAAAATCTCTTCCTTTGATCCAGGTTATAATGCTTATGATCTAAGTATATATATTAATGATGAAAAAAAGTGCATCTAGAAAAATGAGTAATCCTATGCCACGTGGGTCAGGGGTATCGGCGAGGGGGGTACATAGTCTGAAAATAAATTAATGCACAGCTGAAATCTACTCTATGGCATTTATCAACCATTTTATGATAAAATTCCCAAAAATATTGAAATATGTGGCCCCAGGGTCAGTTGGTCCTTTGAGGTGGGGTGCACAACCGGATATAAAGTGGAAGTGCATTTTCTCTTTGTTACTCTGATCTACCCGTGGGTATGAAGTAAATATAATAAGCATAATAAGTTTATAATTATGATGAGCAATGGTGCCTCTTTCAAAATTGTGAATTTTATGGCCTCTGGTTTAAACATGAATCAAATTCAATTGCTGGAAAGTTGTTACACGATACTCAGGTGACCTATAAGGCCCGTGGGCCTCTTGTTTCTGCTTATAGCCTGTGATAAATTTTTAGTAGACACATTATGGTATACAATTGTAATCATGAAAAAATTCTTCACTTATATCGGAATTTCATCTAGTGGTCTCAATACATGTACTTAAATCAAATTCTGTATGTAAATAAATATTGCAATTAATACCCTTCTAATTCCCCGAACTAACCCCCACCTCTTACCTCAAACTGAGCTACATTGTAGCTCTTCAGGAATCAATGATTATGCTTACTTCTCCAAAACATTTAGTAGTAGCACTGATTTAATAATTGTGAATATTAAAATTGTAAGAATACGGTAGCACATTACTTCCCCTCCCCAAATTGTCAGATTGTTACATTTTAGAATTTTTTAAATTAATTTTATTAGTTTTCACATATTTAAATGTTTGATATCTTCACCTGAAAATTAGTCCATACCAAAATATAGCAATCAGTTGACAACAAAGTTTGTGTCTTCTGACTTCTGACACTATTTTCTTACAATTAAAAATCTTCTGGCAAGTCAATATAACATCCGAGAAAAAACCATGAAGAATTGTTAGATAATAATGTCAAATTGTCAAAAAATATATATCTAATCGTCAGAAAACTTGTATTATACTGTATAATGTTGAAAAAAAGATGCTAAAATGATACTGATTTTCCTAACAAGTTGCCAGAATTATCATTAACATCTTCACAGACATATAATAAGACGAAATAAACGAGAGGTACTGTGAGCAATGCGCTCACTAAATGATACCCCAGCCTTCCATGTGAATATAATGGGAGTGTCCATGTTTTGTTGTGGGAAACCTAAAATTTGTGTCAGATCAAAATGAAAAATAGAATTTGTACAATGGCAATATGTAATACAGAATCTGAAAGTTTCATCAAAGTTCATTCTGTGGTATGAAAGGAGTTGCGGAAAAGAGATGGTAACCCAAAGCACAACAGACAGACGGACGTACAGACAGCTAGACGGACGGAGGGACATACCGATTACATCTTTTTAAGCAGGGGGTATAATAATATCTGAAATGTAAACATAAACATCTGACAAGAAGTGGAGGTAAAATTACAACAATATTAGAAATATTCATATGAACACTTTTCTCCATTCATATTAGAATTAAGTCAAAGGGGTCGCTTTGCTGGATTTTCTCTCTTTTTATCCAATTCTACGAATATTGAGGAAGGATTGCTGTGTTACAAGGACGGTCCAGAGTTACCTCCACTGGACATCAATGTCACGTGTACCGGTCATGCTCGATATGTATTCTACTATAACGAAAGATCACCAGGAGTTAAATACCCTGAAGACTATCAATTGGCTTCTTATACAGAGTTATGCGAAGTGATTGTCTTGGGTAAACAAACTCACTTAATTATCCTGGTAATAAGAAAACGTTTTTCAACTACATGTATCCGTCACACAAGTCGAAAAAACTATGTAGGTACAATGTTTGAGAATCATTTAATAGGTTGTAGAACCGGGGTATATGGTGAAAACTGCAATTTGCAGTGTCCAGAAAATTGCTTTGGAGAAATGTGTGACATTGTGAATGGAACATGCTATAGCTGTAAACCTGGATGGACGGAAGATTTTTGTGGACAAGGTATGTAGACAGGTATTTCTGGACAGGAACCCCTCCCAATTGTCAAACCGGGATTATCCAAAATTTTCTCACAAATAATTATTTCATTTAATATGCCATATGGAATAAAAATGAATATACATGTAACACAAAAATTATCACTCCATACAAAATTATCCTATCCAGAAATTATAAGAGATAAAGATATTTTACTCCCTCGCTCTCAATGGCCCTGAGTGACGAGTATAGGTCTAAATTTGAAGCCCTTCACCGGCATACGGTGACGCCTCCATACGAGTAAAAAATTCTTGAGAGGTATGTTAAACAACATACAATCAATCAATCATGGATTAATGTTGTCTTTCTATATTTTTTTTTTTGATAATATCGAATAGACTTTGCATCCCGCGAAAATCTCACAATTTACCATCAAATACGACTTCAGTTTAAAAAATCACTTAGGAAAACGCAACAATCGTGTACATGTATAGAGAACTTTGAATTTAATACCACTATAAAATCTGAAAAAAAAAATCAATCTAAATGAAATGTATAATTAAGGAATGACCTTTATTCTTGGCCAAACTATTCGATTATAACCTGGTTTGGGTCAGTTTAAGCTTTTAATTATAATCCGCGAAGCGTAAACTGATCCAAACCAGGTTATAATCGAATAATTTGGCCAAGAATTAAAGTCATTCCTTATAATTTAATTTTAAAATAGTTAAACAACAATGGGTGTAAAATTGTGTTGCGTGTTATGAGTTCAAATTTGCCGCTCAATATTACATCCCTAGTAACGGAAATGATATGATTAAAGGGGAGGTAATTACTGATACACAGATCTAGCAGCCATGATGTTTGTTTACACGAGGTAAGATCGAGCAACTGTTTGAAGTTAAAGGTACATTTATAAAAATCTGGAATTTCCCATGAATCCTAAGGACTGGAAATGAAGGGAATTGTATGGATACAGATGATTCATCTGGTTGTCAAGGGGGTGTGTACCCATACCAAACCAGGTTATTAAGAAATAATTTGCGTTCCTTTTTGGAAATTAACCAATGTGAGACTAGAATACAAACAAAATTAAATTATTTTATTTTATCCAGAAAGAACAGTAGAAATACAATGAAAAGAAAGCAGAGTTGCTCAAATTTCTCTCTAAAAAAGTAAAGTAGGATCCCCTTTGTATGAATTGATTTTTTGTGTTTTACCATATATTTCTATGGTAATTATACATTGTATTAACAGGTAGGTGTAAGAAATGTAATCTGTAAAGAAAAAACACATATGGGACCCTGTATTTAATATTGCAGGGATGGAGAGGGGTGTTACTCTCCACATTCAAGTACTTCTGGTTCTGTATTTCAAAAATAATGTTTCTTTCATTTTCAAGGAGGGGAATATAAACTTAACAATCATCAAAATTTTTCTTTTTTTTTTCTCATAAAGAATGCCCATCGGGGTCATACGGAACATACTGTACATATCAGTGTTCAGGACATTGCCTTAATAGGCTACCATGCAATCACGTGACTGGTGAATGTCCTGATGCATGTGCAGCAGGATGGACTGGAACATTTTGTGAAAAATGTAAGTTTGATCTAAGAGAAAAAATATTTAAGTAAAGAAAACAAGAAAAGCTCTACCATATATCTTAGATAACAAAAGAATTACTTATATACCAAAACTACGTACTACGTTGAAAGTTGGAATGTTTGAAGAAAAGAAAAGTGAAGAGAGCACATTTTTTTTCATTTTTTTGTAGCATGTGTTAAAGGAAAATATGGCCCAAACTGTTTCTTTAACTGTAGTGGTCACTGCAAGGATAATGTTCCGTGTAATAAAGAAACAGGACGTTGTAATACAGGGTGTAATACTGGGTATATTGGAAGATACTGTAGTGAAGGTTTGCAGAATAACTGAATTTGAAAGTTTGTTAATCAGTACAAATATATAAATTGAGAATTCTGATTCCATGGTTGAAGGTAACCAGATCATTATAAGGAATAGATTTAACTTAATATTGTTGTCTATGGATTTGATCTTTAGTGCTTATTCCTTAAAGAAACATCTAAAGGTCATTGAATGTTATTCTAGAATTAAATACAGTAAACCACATCAAAATTTATTTGATCTCAATTTCCTTCGTATTTCTCTACTTTATATTTTTCTTCATCAAACATAGCATGTGACTTTGGAAGATTCGGAGACAAATGTGCGAATATTTGCAGTGGACATTGTCTTGACAATGAAACTTGCAACCATGTCAATGGAATCTGTATCAAAGGTTCTGCTCCTGGATATTTTGGATCCCTTTGTAGAAAAGGTATTTCTAAATTGAAAATGAAATTAAATTTTATATATAAAACTAATATGTTATAATTGAAATAATATCAAACACGAAACTTAGAAAAGAGTATTTTCGATTAGCTTGGTGATATTTAGTTTCTTGGAGATAAGAGATATTTGATTCTCTAGAGAATTTCTAGTTCTTCATTTGATGAAGAATTGTTTTAATTATTATTATTATTATTATGATTATTATCATTTTTTTGGGGGAGGGGGGGGGTTGCTCTTTTTTTCTTTTGTTTGACATTTTACCTGATAAATTAAAGAAATTGTAAAATAAAAAGATAAATAAAGAATTCAAAAAAAGATTGTTTCATGTTCGAAGTAATTGAATGTCCTTCGTTTATCATTTAGCATACACAATTGCATTCTTTTAGCAACTATTATCTAGATTGATCGTAAATTAAAAAAGAGTAATATTAAAATAACACATAATACATGTACAACAAGATCAAACAGTCACAAAATCGCCTGACATTTCTTTATAAATTAACAAATAAACCTAGTCCTATATTTAATATCATAACAAGATCATATGCGCTTTTAATCAAATTCATTTTTTATATTTAAATAATAAACTATTTGCAATATCTTTACTTAGCAGAACATTTTTGTAGAAGGCATTCAATTAAAGTGATTTGCATTTGTTTCTGTTGTATCTTAAATCAAAATCTTTATTTTAGTTTGTTCTGATGGCTCGTACGGTTTGAATTGCTCTGGAATTTGTTCTCCTAACTGTATTGGTACTTGTGGACGTGTCGATGGTACCTGTAAATGTGAACCTGGATTTACTGACTCACCAAACTGTTCAAGGGGTATTTTATCAACACTAAAATTTGTGAACTCCTGAAACATGTAGAATTACATTTTCCTATACATTTATTATATTTAATAATAGCTTACAGGAAAAAAACAAAATAAAATTTTAAACAGCTGCGAATTAACTATATTTTCATTTCTTAAACTTATTATATCTTGAATAATTTATTAATGGTTGTTAAAAACTGGTGCAATACAAACATGTATATTGCAATATTTTAGAATGTCTCCCAGGATTTTACGGTGTAAACTGTAAATATAGATGTAGCGGTCAATGTTTCAATGATGAAACATGCAGCAGATATGATGGAAGTTGCCCTCTAGGATGTAAAGATAATTATGTTGGAGTAGCCTGTGACTTTCTCCGTAAGCATCTTATCCTTTCATAGTCTGTATTACATATGTAAATAAAATGAAAGAAGAGGAAGATTTTAATTAAGGAATGTTTTTTAGTTTTGTGTGAGTTATTGGTGTGTGAATCACACAGACTTATCACGTAGGCATATTTCATGAAGCGCGCTAGCGCTTCATGAAAAATATGCCTATGTGCAAGTCTGTGTGATTCACACACCAATAGCTCACACTAAACTGAAAAACATTCCTTATATTTACATTTTACCTGTTTGGAGGCAACTAAAATATACTCAATAATTGAATTTCTCGCTGTCCTATATTATTGCATTTTACTTACGTCGCTGCAGTCTCATTGTGACGTCACGTTAACGCACGTTTCTCCGTGTATATTTCTACGCGTGAGTATACACGAAAATGTTTTTCAAATCAATTTCACAGTAAGCTAACTAGAAAAACATAGCAAATGTAAATATTATCTTATAAATAAGAGTTTGTATATCTTTAAACGTTCATTGTGCTACTAGGGAGATTTAATTTCAAAACAAAGTACTCTTAAATCAAGTTTTCTATTGAGATCAATTTCTTATAGTTCAAGGAATATACAAATTGTTTCGGAGAAATTCATTTTTAGTTAAATATTTTAAGCAGCACGGGATTTTCTCTCTCCTAGAGGAAATGGATTTTCTTACTATAAAGCTACCATGTAAATATAAAAAACTAAATAAACTTGGAAATTTACATTCATAGTATTGTCAAGATAATAATCACCTTTTCAATGAATGGTATTTTGCAGAGGATAGTTCCACAAGTGCATCAACAGTTGGACTTTCCATAGTAGTTGCAGTATATTCGCTTTGTTTAATAGCTGCCTTTCTTTACTTTTACTTGAGGTATATATCATGCTCTGGATGTTTTTTTATTTACACTAATTTAAGTAAAGGAAAGATTATACTACAGTCTACAAAAGAAAAGGTAATTATAGACAACACAAGCTATGCATTCGGCGACAAGTTTCAATTTGAAAAAAAAAAATAACTATGCTCCTTTCATATACATGTATTATATACTTAACGGATATTTGTCATAAAAAAAATTTCATTTGATCGATTGAAGTAAAAACAATAGTTTGAGACAATATTAAAATTTTAAATTGGAATATAATGCTTTGTACTTTCTTTTTGAAGGTCACACAGCTGCAACATTTTAAAGGAAAGAAATCCCAAGTTTGCAAGTAAATACACCAAAAGCGAACCGTCTTCTGCTCCAAATACCAATATCTTGGATGATAACACACATAATTATCAGGACTTGAATATCACCGACGATAAAAACTCTTATGAATTAATGCAAGTATCTGAAAATCAGTGTGCTTATCAGAACCTAGACCTTGAGTAGAAATGTATATTGTTTTTTTTATCACCCATGACAACTTGACAATATATGGAAGTAAAGTTACGTTTTGTAGCATACTATTCAAAAAGAGTTCTCAGTTCTCAGACATTAGTAGGAGGCTGTTAGCATATCTGCCGTCCAAGCTTGTCTCAGACATGCTCCGTGTGGAAAAAGGTCCGGAATGAGTGTTGACCATTGTAATATAAGGATATTCTGCAGTTTGAGAAAATCTCCAACGATCATGGCCTTTGACTTCTGGCATTGTCATCTTGAGAAATGTAACGACAGACATAATGACGTGCAAACGTCACAACATGGGGGTACAAATATGTTGTCCTGGTAGTATTCCCCTTTAACACGGCTAGCGGCAACATGTAAGTCTTTTCTGTCGGTAACAGTAACGCCTCTCCACGCAATTACAGATCCATCCCAAATCGTTTGAAAAAAAAATGCTTATACACGCTATTGGGGGAGGATTGTTTAGTTGGTATCAATCTCTCCTGCGTCTGACCAGGAAGTCCAAAGTGTATCTCGACTCGTGATATGTTCTGGCCAGTGACTTCAAAGCCAGTATCCCTTTTATTTGCTGTTACCAGGCGATTTCTCAAGGCAATAGTTTGGATTTATCTGTCCTGAACCTGTGTTGTAACCCTTTCTCGACCGGATGGTGGACTTGAAAAGATCTTGTAGCACGTTTTCTGGACACAAATATGCTGCTAATAGACTGGAAAACAATCATTGACCTTGCAACTGTGACCTGTCTTGTACCAACCTGTAACTTTTCATCCTGTGTTAGAGGGCAACTTATTATCGTTTTAATTAATGGCACCAGCAACTGATAATCTGATTATTATTTCATTTTTTTCTGAGAGTTAAATGTACTTTAAGTTTAAACTGGCATGCAAATTAATGGAGATCTTGCGTGTTTGGGTGATGAATTTCTTTGGAAATACTTTTGTGGTTTAGGAACTAAACATGGTTTCGTATCCTTTTGTATATTCGAACATTTTTACATATGTATAATAAAACTGCATTATCTCTTTCTTTTTTTTGAATAGTATGTAAACAAGTTTTTATGGGTAAGATGATAACAAGATCATTCTTCAATTAGCTCATACGCATGTAATTACATTAACTGATTGTCTACATGTATATCTAATGAAGCACTGTGAAAGAGTGCTATAATTGTTTGTATTTTACTTAGTATATTCATTTCCCTTGAAAAATTATATGAGTTTAAGAAACATTTTATATGAATGAGCAGAGGGTTTATGAACATTAGGGTAGTGCACTACTCGGCATTAAATGGTCTCAAACTTGAAAAACTCGAGCCCTCGATATACGTTATAAAAATTATACAGTAAGACTCTTTAATAACAAAGTAACTTGGACCTACCAGTATGAAATTACTTTGCTATATCCGTAATTCATTGAATCCGTATAAGAAATTCATTTAATGTATATAACTTGGGATCCAAGACAACTGTGCTACATGTATATCTGTGAATTCTAAATACCTGTGTTCGTACTTAATGAGTTTTACTGTATATCAACAAATTTATTATAGGATTAAACGTTCTTTTTGAAACATTTATCGATGTGTAAACTCTTGACATATTACTCACAAACTAAATAAAAGTGTTAAGCTTGTGAGTAACATGTCAAGAGGTTACACATCGATAAATTTTTTTCAAAAAAAAGTTTAATTCTAATAATTCCAATAACGAATTTTTAAAATTATTTAAATTATTTCTCTTTGAGGCACCCATACCATTTTTTCTGTACGGTGTATGAATACTTTATACCGCAAAGAAATGTAATCGGGATGAATTTCGACAGAGTTTAACTTTTAAAATTGTCAAAACAATCAATAAATAAACTTAATAGAAAAACTTATCGAATTTTGTTTAACATGTTTAAGTCAACAAATATCGTAATTACTAGTTTAGTTCAGAATAGTTCGTCCTTGATCGTGGCCATGTTGACATTAAAGACAGCGCTCAAGAGAGAGAGAGTTGCTGAATGAGACGCCTTTCATTTGCACGGGTTTGTTCAGTGATTGAGGAAGAATTTAGAAAGTAATAATATGAATTAGATGCTAATAAGTAAAGAGTTTGAGGTATGTTTCTCTTTCTCTGTCACAACAATACAAACATAACTGATTTGCTTCTTTTTTTTGGTATGTCAACGTCGAGAATATGACATTCCACCCCATGGTCGGACAGCGGCTTAAACATTTTCATGACGTCTGTCAGCTGGTCACTCCTGTTTGTCGCCAGTTTTATTTTATTTTATTAAATTTGAAGGATATTGCATTCATAATTTAGCTAAAACAGACCAGAAATAAGTGCTTTCATTGTTTATACCATAGTCTAGAAGCTTGGTCAAGAAAGTAGTTCTGATTGAAAAATTTATTGATGTGTTAACTTTTTCTTAAACGTGTTTTCGTCCAATCAAAACACAGGGAATCAATAGATAAAATGACGATTGAAATTATTTTTCTGTATTGCCTCTTAGCAGTATTTACCCTAAAACGCCAAACAAGTCATTATTGTCTTTATATAAGAATTAAAATAAAATAGTCAAACTACATGACTGTATGATACTCAAATTATGGAATCCAAAAAATTATTTATAAATTAACACGTTAATATAGGTACTCATTTACCAGTTACAAATAAGTCGATCAGTTCCGAATACCCTAACAGTTTCCATTCAATTCGACCTTAAATTAAATAATATACGTCCCAAACATTATCCATTGCCATGCCTGAGAAAAGGTAAATTAATTCCTTACCAATAAGTTAATTGTATTTCCAAAGGATAAAGAGAAACTAAAGGTTCTTTAAGCACTGAGCTCACTTTAGTGATACTCCACGCCTTTCTATATAATTATTATTACAAAGTCCATGTTTTGCTCAAGGAGACCCGAAATAAGTGTCAGATCAATAGTAAAATAAGAAGTGTACAGTGGTATAGGAGGAATTGCAGAGCCCGTTATGCATAAATTATCCCACCTTTCCCAGTGTGGTTGATGTCCCTGGCTAGCCAGAAAAAAATAAATCCGAACAAATGACTTCCCATCAATAATTGCATTTTATTTACGAAATGTAAGTGACATATATTCTTCTTGTAGATTGTTAGATATCTCAGCCCACACTGTTTATTGTTTTTTTTTGTTTGTTTAAAAGTATTTTAATTACTCTATTTGAATATTTCATATATTTAAATATAAGTATGATTGAAATGAGGATAGGTACAAATTGAATACCATAAATTAAAGATATGTGTACAGTGTAGGTATAATTAATTCAAAGAACAGTCAATTGAATTGAAAAAAAGTTAGAATTTATATGTACCTATCTTTAAATATTTTGTGCAGATGTATTAATTAAGTGTTGCTATCTTTCAAATGAATTGCAACTATCTTCAAATGAATAAAAGGTAGGAGAAATTCAATTGATCCTATCTGTAATGGAATTGAACCTATCTTTAATAAAATTAAAGATCGGTTTATTTCATTTGAATCTAGATTCAAGTACAAAGTATTTAAAGATATTTGTATTTATTTATACCTATCTTTAATTTATTTAGATCTACCTTTAATTCAATGATTTGAAGATAGGTACAAATATTTAAACATATAATTTGGTGTTTCTGTTTCGTAGGTTTGGTCAACAAATTAACAATTAAATTCCCTGAAACGAACTTGAGGTAATAGGTCGTATTTGACAAATTTTCGGAATGCACAACAACTTGATTATACAGGTTTCACTTGTCACAGTTGCACAACTTCATATTGGATAATGTCTACTGTAGCAAACTGTCATGAATATTTTGTCTATATCCCAAAATTATAAAATTTTATGAAAAAAAAGTTGCACTAAGCCGCCAAATTATGTGCCCTTTTCGTTGTTCATGGGGTTGCCATTGCAAGGAATTTGTTGGGTAACTTCGGGAAAATGAGAAAATGTCCAGAATATTGAAACAGCTCCTTTTCCAACAGGATATCTGTACCTTGGATGGCGCGCAAACAGTGCGTGCTGTATAACTCTCGTCACCTTCGCTAAGTCAGGATCGACAAGATTTGTTGGCATTTTCACGACTTCTCTGTGTCCTGTAAGAATATACATGATGTAGCATTTAAAAGCGGCTTTTAACTGCCCTCTCTTACATTCAAATGGAAAAGGATTTGAACAAAATTGTCAGCATTATCAAGCATATATATTTTACTTTCTTAATCGTATCTTGAAATGTTTTGCTTGTAAAAAGTACAGCGTACGTCGCCCCTTTCCAAACTGAACATTATGTAGCCCATTAATTGGCTTTATACAAGACAATGAATTGAAGAAGTTAAAAGGACCTGCTACAACCTATAAATCATTTTAAGTGACCATACCAAAAATGAGATGAGTTTGTAATGAGTCTTAAGACATTGCTTTTGGAAGTTAAAACAATCACCTATTCTATTGAATAATTTCAAATACTTAGTACCGGTCACGGTAGCCTAGTGGTAGAGCGTTCGCTTCGTGATCGGGAGGCCCGGGTTCGATTCTCGTTCGCGGCGCCGCGTCATACCTAAGACGTAAACAAAGGTAGTGACTGTTCCTTCGCCAAGCGCTCGGCACTAGAAGTGAAAGTCACGGGTCTTTCGGATATGACCTTAAAAACGTAGGTCCCGTGTCACGGTAGGCGCTGGCACGATAAAGAACCCTCACTGCTCAATGGCCCTGAGTGCCGAGTATAGGTCTAAATTTGAAGCCCTTCACCGGCATACGGTGACGTCTCCATATGAGTGAAAAATTCTCAAGAGGGACGTTAAACAATATACAATCAATCAATCAAATACTTAGTAGCATTATCTACAGTGTACTTTCGGATTTATTTTTTTTTTATCATAATAATAAATATTTTTCTTCGTAAACAGAGCAAATCCATTACCCATTTTCTCGCCGTAGAAGTCCTTGACCTCCTGTG